TATATATAGTATATAATTATATATATATCTTTCATTATTTAACACTATGTATACTATGAAAGGTAAATATAAAAGCTTTCCTTTCAAATGTTATATATATACATGGAGACCCCCGGTTTAGATCATTTTGCTTCCCGGAATTTTAGGTTGCCTACTGACCAATTCTGTTCCATAAGGATATTTTGAATAGATTATCCATTTAGACCCAAAATACATATAAAGACTTATATAAATACACTTATATAATTATATTGATGTATACATATATATATATATTATATATATATATAAATAGTATATATATATATTTATATGTACATAATATAATGCGTATATATATATACATGTATATATATACAGTGGACCCCCGGTTAACGATATTTTTTCATTCCAGAAGTATGTTCAGGTGCCAGTACTGACCGAATTTGTTCCCATAAGGAATATTGTGAAGTAGATTAGTCCATTTCAGACCCCCAAACATACACGTACAAACGCACTTACATAAATACACTTACATAATTGGTCGCATTGGGAGGTGATCGTTAAGCGGGGGTCCACTGTATATAGACACATTACCTGGTTGTGCTCACCTAGTCTGAGACTTAGGCGAGTAGAGGTACCTAGGGAGTACAACACCTGGGAGGGAGGCTGGGAAGATAGGCTATCAACACAGGCAGACAGCTGGCAGTTATGCTACAGAGTACAGTGGAACCTCAAAAATCGAACGTTTCGAAAATAAGACCATTTTTTCGGACAAACTGTGTCCCTATTATCAAACACACCCCTATTTTCGGACTGCCGGGTACGGGACCTGTCTGCCGCCCGCTCTGTCCGCATCCCCGCACAGGCGCCGTGAGCAGTCTAGCTTTGTTTATGCTTGAGTGAACACTAACCTGCGCTCTCATTCACGAATTTTATGATTATTTCGTTGTGCTTAGTGCTTGTGGGACTGTGAAATAAGCTGCCATGGGCCCAAAGAAACTTGCTAGTGGTACCTCTGTGGTAAAGAAAGTGAGAAACACCATAGATGTGAAGAAGGAAATAATACAGAAGTATGAGAGTGGTGTGAGACTTGTTGAGCTTGCCAGGATGTGTGGGAAAAACAAGTCGACCATCGGTTCTATCCTGTCAAAGAAAGAACAAATCAAGGAAGCTGATGTTGCGAAAGGTGTTAATATAGGGAGCGGATGAGGTGCCTTCTTCAAAGATTAAGGAGATTTGTGCCAAGTGGAATGATGTCCAAATGTTTGTGGAGAAGTACCACCCTGAGCAAGCTGAAACAAGCCATCTTTGCAACAAGTTCAGTGACAGAACCATGTCACATTTTAGGGAAATGTTAAAGAGGTGCCAGAAACAGAGGACTGTGGACAGTTATTTTGTGAGACAGGGGTCCAGTGACTCTCAAGCTGGTCCTAGTGGCATTAAAAGACAGAGAAGGGAAGTAACCCCAGAGAGGGCTTTACCTGAAGTCCTCATGGAGAGGGATTCTCCTTCCCAACACTAACCCCAACTCCCTCCCTCCTCCCTATCTTCCAGATGCCATCACCAATCTTCAATAAAGGTAAGTAAAAATGTTATTTTATATGTATTACTATACATAATTAAAAACTATAGTATTTGTTGTATGTAAAACTGTAATTAATCTCTATAAAATGTATTTTTTGTGTGAATATTTTTGGGTTTCTGGAATGGATTAATTGTATTTCCATTATTTCTTATGGGAAATATTGCATCGAATTTCAGACTTTTCGAATTTAGAACTAGGTCCTGGAATGGATTAAGTTCGATTTTTGAGGTTCCACTGTATATGCTTCTAGGTAAGTATATGGGGCACACAAAATCTATTATATTCACAGAGGAGCAATAAAACCGTAAGGGCTGTGGCTGGAGGGTGGTAATCAGGTCTGATCCAAGGAAGGGAAGATAGCTTCAGGGAGACGATAAAATGTCATGTATGTCACTGGAGCTGATTCATGAGTGAAGCTCACTGGAGTTGACTCCTCATGAGTGAAGCTCACTGGAGTTGACTCCTCATGAGTGAAGCTCATTGGAGTTGACTCCTCATGAGTGAAGCTCACTGGAGTTGACTCCTCATGAGTGAAGCTCACTGGAGTTGACTCCTCATGAGTGAAGCTCACTGGAGTTGACTCCTCATGAGTGAAGCTCACTGGAGTTGACTCCTCATGAGTGAAGCTCACTGGAGTTGACTCCTCATGAGTGAAGCTCACTGGAGTTGACTCCTCATGAGTGAAGCTCACTGGAGTTGACTCCTCATGAGTGAAGCTCACTGGAGTTGACTCCTCATGAGTGAAGCTCACTGGAGTTGACTCCTCATGAGTGAAGCTCACTGGAGTTGACTCCTCATGAGTGAAGCTCACTGGAGTGACTCCTCATGAGTGAAGCTCACTGGAGTGACTCCTCATGAGTGAAGCTCACTGGAGCAGACTCCTCATGAGTGAATCATGAGACTCTCATGTGAAGCCACGATACTCCTCATGAGTGAAACTCACTGGAGCAGACTCCTCATGAGTGAAGCTCACTGAGCAGACTCCTCATGAGTGAACTCACTGGAGCAGACTCCTCATGAGTGAAACTCACTGGAGCAGACTCCTCATGAGTGAAGCTCACTGGAGCAGACTCCTCATGAGTGAAGCTCACTGGAGCAGACTCCTCATGAGTGAAGCTCACTGTAGCTGACTCCTCATGAGTGAAGCTCACTGGAGCAGACTCCTCATGAGTGAAGCTCACTGGAGTTGACTCCTCATGAGTAAGCTCACTGGAGATGACTCCTCATGAGTGAAGCTCACTGGAGTTGACTCCTCATGAGTGAAGCTCACTGGAGCAGACTCCTCATGAGTGAAGCTCACTGGAGCAGACTCCTCATGAGTGAAGCTCACTGGAGTTGACTCCTCATGAGTGAAGCTCACTGGAGTTGACTCCTCATGAGTGAAGCTCACTGGAGCAGACTCCTCATGAGTGAAGCTCACTGGAGCAGACTCCTCATGAATGAAACTCACTGGAGCAGACTCCTCATGAATGAAACTCACTGGAGCAGACTCCTCATGAGTGAAGCTCACTGGAGCAGACTCCTCATGAGTGAAGCTCACTGGAGCTGACTCCTCATGAGTGAAGCTCACTGGAGCTGACTCCTCATGAGTGAAACTCACTGGAGCAGACTCCTGAGTGAAACTCACTGGAGCAGACTCCTCATGAATGAAACTCACTGGAGCAGACTCCTCATGAGTGAAAATCACTGGAGCAGACTCCTCATGAGTGAAGCTCACTGGAGCAGACTCCTCATGAGTGAAGCTCACTGGAGTTGACTCCTCATGAGTGAAGCTCACTGGAGCTGACTCCTCATGAGTGAAGCTCACTGGAGCTGACTCCTCATGAGTGAAGCTACTGGAGCAGACTCCTCATGAGTGAAGCTCACTGGAGCAGACTCCTCATGAGTGAAGCTACTGGAGCTGGAGCTATACTTATACTTGTGTAGTATATTGTAGATCGTATCATCCATGTATATATTTAGGCTCCCTTTCAGTAGGCTCAGCGACTAGCATGTGTGACGTCACGTGATGCGCATGTGTGCGTGAGAATCCCTGTAACTCTCTCAGTTCTCCATGCTTAGGTCTACGGCCAACGCAGGCAGGTTGGGCCTCTCCCCTCTCACATTCTGCTAATGTATGTGTTACCATCCAACGACTATGTTTAACTCCAACCATCACAGCTCCACGAACCCTCCCGACAACTCGTTATGAGTGAAGCTCAATGGAACTGACTCTTCATGAGTGAAGCTCACTGGAGCTGACTCCTCATGAGTGAAGCTCACTGGAACTGACTCTTCATGAGTGAAGCTCACTGGAGCTGACTCTTCATGATGAGCTCACTGACAGACTCCTCTGAGACTCACTGGAGCGACTCCTCATGATGAAGCTCACTGGAGCTGACTCCTCATGAGTGAAGCTCACTGGAGCTGACTCCTCATGAGTGAAGCTCACTGGAGCAGACTCCTCATGATTGAAGCTCACTGGAGCTGACTCCTCATGAGTGAAGCTCACTGGAGCAGACTCCTCATGAGTGAAGCTCACTGGAGCAGACTCCTCATGAGTGAAGCTCACTGGAGCAGACTCCTCATGAGTGAAGCTCACTGGAGCAGACTCCTCATGAGTGAAACTCACTGGAGCTGACTCCTCATGAGTGAAGCTCACTAACTCTACAACCTAAGGACACAATTGTGTCCACAAAAAAGTTCCCACCAAGACATGTAATATGTCCACTAAGAAGCAAAATACTCCACTAAAAAGTGGAAGATTCCATTAAGAAGTTAAATACTCCATTAAGAAGTGGAATACTCCACTAAGAAGTGGAACACGCCCAGCAAATGTTGAGTGTGGGAACAATGGCAAGTTTGAGCAAATAGCGTGACTTAATAGTTTGATCAGAGTAAAATGGAAACTGGTTAATACGACATACATACATGAGACTCTTATTAGTACTACACTTCACCGACATGAGGCTTCAATCAACTACAAGATGAAGCCTTACAAAGATTTAACGTTGTATTAATGAAAAATCTCCATACTGCACATCCTGTAACCATCTCTAGGTTATATGTCTAACTGTATGGAAGATGTCAAGTAACAAGCTGTGGTTTCCAAGGAGAGAACGTGCCTTTATACTTCATTGAATTTAGAAATTAAAAAAAATGCTTCGATTTGATATCTTCAGCATTAATTCATATTTAGCAGCCTGTGGTTTGGTTTAATGTATAAACCTACTACACAAATTTGCCATTATCTTAGAATATATATATATATATATATATATACCTATAATAAATTTGAACTAATGCATTACAACACTTGAATATAAATGATTTGAATGTGTGTGTACCATCCTAGACAAGAGTGAGGGCATCAGATAACGGTCAACACCACACACTTCCTATATTCGTCAGTTGTGGCTTTGATATATCTTAGACAGATTTTGATTAATTTCACGGTGGTGAGGGTGTGGCCCGGGCTTCGCCAACATCTCAAGTAATGGTGCTGTAGGTGGCACTACTGAAGGAGTGTTAATACATATCTCTATTACTGAGGTGGCTGCAATGTTGGAGGCGGGGAGTCGGGTCCTGAGGGGGATGAATGATGGTGAGAAGGCGTTGAGATGATTAGTGTCTGGCTGAGGGCTCCCTCGTTCACCCTGTACCCTCCGCCCTCCACTGTTATCTGGGTGAGGGACTTCTGCGGTAGGCTGGCCATGTCTGTACGTAATACGTAAGCAGGGAAATTACTGCCATTTTCCGGGGAGTCTACAATGATCGTGTCGCTGCCCATGTTCACGGTTTCAATGCTGACGTTTTCAGTGAAGTGCTCTATGCCCCCCTGCAGGTGGGTGAGGTTATCAGTGGACACCACCACTGCACCATTCTCCCTGACAGTGACCAGCGCAGGTTCGTGACGTGCTGCCATCAGTTGAGGGGGAGACTGCGTTCGTGAGGTGCGTGGCTTGGGTGGCACTGGTGGTGGTACGGACACAGAGCTGGAGCCACCAACATCCACACTGCTGACACGGGGTGCAACAGTCACTGTCACTCCTCTCTTGCCAACATTACCAACCATTCCAGCTTCAATTTCACTGTCGCTGCTTAGACTACTACGACTGCTGCTGCAGCTGCTGCTGGTGACCATTTTCTGAATGTGAGGTGTCTGTTGAGAAGTGACATGGCGAAGCTGAACACTAAAACTACTGATTTTCCTTTCTTCAGGAGAGGGCGGGTGTGCTTGAACCACCACCACACGATCCTCAGTAGAGGTGATGGGTGTAACCTCAACATCTCCCCCAATGATCGTTGCATCACCATCTAGAAGTGTAATGGTAGTACGGCCAACAGGCGCAGGGGTGGCAGGAAGCGAAGGAGGGTCTTCCCGATCCTCGCTACTCTTGCTGCGCTGTAAGTTGATGCTGTTCCTCGACATCTCTGACGCTGTTACCCACTGACTCGAGATATCCGTGACTGAGGTGGAACCGCTAATTTCGATGTGAGATATAGGCTCTCCTTCAGGATCTGCCACTCGTGGAGATACAGCCTCGGCTAAACTCCCATCACTGTATCTTCTGAAGAGTAACGCCTCTTCCAGTGTGCCCCACTGACCAGCACGTCGCAGTCCAGACCCTCCCACCGTCACCGCTTCTTCCTCTTCTATGGATGTTGCAGAAGAATCTGGAAGCTGAAGACGATGTGGACGGTGCAGACCCGAGGTTTTATCAGCGGCAGCTGTTGCCTCTGCTCTTGTCAGATCTAAGGACATGGCCCTTTCCAGGATAACATTGATTGTATCAGCTTCAACATGTAGGCGTGAAAGGTCTCCTAAAGAAGCTGCTTTCCGTTTCAGTTCTTCCGAGTCTGTAGGTGGTCGCTTTGGTGTAGATGACGTTACTGGTTCTATGTGAGCTCTAATGATGGCTCGCTCTCCCTCACTGTCAGAGGCAATGGAGGCATCATCGTAGAGTGTGAGTGTTGGCACCCGTCGCTCAAGCACAGTCCTCTGCACCACCTCCACTACCTCTGTTGCTCCTACTGGAGGCTGGTAGGGTTTCAGTTTTACCTCGCGTACCACAACATTACTTCGAGTGGCAGGAACGGGGGCTTGGGGGGGCTCGGGGGCTCGACGCTTAGACGGAGTAGCATCAGTTTCTTCAGGCTGTGAGGTGTAAGTGGTTAATAGTGGTGGTAAACTTACATCTACCTGACGCTCCGTTGCCTCAACCATCTCATTAACTTCATTAACTTCAACATCAACAGGTTGCTCATTAATAGTTATTTCTGTCATCCCTGTGGTTATTTGGCGACTCCTTCCTCTGTTGCGTTTTCTCTTCTTTAATTCTGTCGGAGTCTGGTCCTCTTTATCAGAACTAGATGAAGAGCTTGATGAAGAGGAACTACTTGATTTTTCTTTACGTTTTCTCCTGTTGTCCTTGGCAGCTGCAGCAGCCAGAATTAAAGCATTCTCCTCTGAGATATTAAGAACCTCTTCCTCTTTCTTTGTTTTCTTTTCCTTGTCTTTCTTTTTCTTTGCATTCTTTTTTCGCTTGGCCTCAGCAGTTCCTGAATGGTCTTTGGCAGTGCCCTCGTGTGTTGTTTCATCTTCACTAGAGTGACTGTCATGGCGCATACGATTGATTTCAGTTTGGATTTTGCCCTTGAGATTCTTAAAGCCTTTAAAGCCTAAGCGAATGCCTTTGCTTTTGTGTTCCTTAACCTTCTCGTCGCCACCACGAGTGTCGTAATCTACCCGGTCTTCCGCCTCGATTCCTTCAGAATCGGAGGTACTTCTTCCACTGCGGTTCCTGAAGTTGAAGCCCAGTCCCTTTTGTGTTTTTGCTCGAGGTGCTTCATCTCTGCGAGTGTCCAGTGACCGTCTCTCATCCGCATCTCCTCCTTCTGAATCTGACCTCACCTCATATTTACCTTCGTTCTTTCCAAAGCCCATTAAACCGAAGTTGAGGCTCGATTTTGTTTTGATCTTGATATCCTCTTCGGGCTCTATTTCTCGGCGAACAGTCTCTGTCTCTACCTCGCCGCTCTCCATGTCAGAGTTCTTGCTCTTGCCCTTGAAGCCGAAGCTAAGGCTGGGTTTCAGCTTGTGCTTGATGCTTCCAGATTCAGCTTGAGGGTCAGTGCCCACTCGTTCTTGGTCATTGTTATCTTCTGAGTCAGAGTTTCGGTTGCCTCTGCCCTTAAATCCAAAGTTCAGTCCTCCCTTTACTCTAGGTCGATGTTTATCATCCTCTCCCTCTTTATCCATTGGCACCTCAGAGACTTTTTCTAAACTTTCTTCCTCAGTGTCGGAGTTTCGCGAGAAACCTTTAAAACCAAAGCTCATCTTACTGCGAGTTTTCTTCTTGTCGTCTCTTACTTCAGGGCGATCTGGGTCAGGGGTGAGAGAAGTGGGTTCTCGGGAGTCCTCCTCACTGTCTGATGATCGGCTAAATCCTCGGAATCCAAATCCAAGGCCAAATTTGTGCTTTGATTTTGTCTTCTCGTCATCTTCCTCATCTTTTGATTTTGATTTGATCTTTACTTTATCATCCTCCTCTTCCAGTGCAACAGTGGGAACAGCAGGAGCCTTTGCTCTCACTCTCAGCTGTGCTCCCTCTCCCACACCAGGGGGCTTGCCTACCTTCATGTGAATGCTTTCAGAGGTGGTTACTCCTGTCTGGGCCTCAGTTAGTGTGACAGTAACTCCTTTATAGGAAACATCTCCAGCTGTAGCACCACCAGTGTGTCGACTATATGGTGATGAGGCCTCACTGGCTGCATCCAGTATTTCCTTCTTCATAGCGGCAACAGTACCCTCAGGAATAGTCATAGGAGGACTTTCAATCTTTGCCTCAATATTCCTGGAATTAAGATCAGTTTCTATACTAGGGACTACACTGTCTCGAGTCTCACAACCAATATGTTTCTTAAAGCCTTTAAATCCAAAAGCCATGCCAAACCCAGGTGAGAGTCTGGCATTCTCCATCTCTAATGAACTACTTCCCTCTGCCTCTGGCTGCTCTCCTTCTATATTCCTGCCAGAATATCTAGCTTCCAGAATTCCAGATGGTAGATCAACTTCTGGTAAGTCAATTTTGGTCTTCTTTAAGTCAATATCAGCTTCAGGCAAGTCACATTCAACATCAACATCATTTATGTCAGAACCAAAATTACGAGACTGAAGTTCATTTTCTATCTCCAGCGCCAGGCCAGCAGCACGAGACTTGACCATCCTGCCACCACTAACACTAATCGCCTCACGGTCATCTTGCAGGTTATGGTCCCCAGACAAGTATGATGTGTTTTTCTCACCCTTCTGACCTAGATGGAAATCCCAATCAGGTAAGCTGATGTCAGGGGTTTCCAGTTGAACCCAAAGCCTGATTTTCCTTTCTTCTTTGAAGGACTGAGTTCACCTTCCTCAGTATCAGCAATGCCTGTCGTAACAGATGGAATAGCGAGATTTGGGATATCCACACTAATCTTTTGACCAGGCAAGTAAGTAGAGCCCTCATGAGTAGTGGCTACATTAACTGATTCAGCTGCTAATGATGGAGCAATTACACTGGCAGGATGGAATCGTAGGGTTGTACTGTGTTTCTTTCCTAAAGCAACTTCGGTGTCATCATCTCCTTTACTGGTGAACCTCGGCCAAAGTTATGTCAGGACTGTCTACAGAAATTCCTACAGCGTGTTCATCTTTTAATTTTAAGGCCTTGTGTTTGACTTCTGGAGCATTTAACACTTGATTATCTCTGGGTAACCCAACTTTCATTGTAGTTACATCAACATCAGGACCCCTAAAATTAATATCAAAACTTTCTTGGGTAATTTGTCAACTTTAGAGCCTTCTGCATACTTCCTGAATTCTTGGCTGCTGGTAAACAAGCCAGGAACATTCACTTCAGGGCCTTTAAGACTAAAGCTCAACCCACTATTAAATTTATTCTCATCTAGTGAATGTTTATTTCTGTCTTCTCGGTCATCTTTGCTGCTTTTCAAATTTATCTTAGGAATGTTAATCTCAGGTCCTTTTAGGTCAAAGTTAAATCCTTTCTCATTTGTTCTATCTTCATCAAGTATATGTTCATTATCTGAACCTTCTTTACTGTCTTCTTTACCATGTCCTCCAAGCCTGATATTGGGACGTTTAAAGCCAAAGTTAAAGCCTTTCTTTGATTTTATATCTTTATTCTTATCATCAAATTCTATTACATCACCATGTTCAGCAGAAGCCTTCAGAGTAGCTCTGGGAATGTCAGTCTCAGGTCCTTTAAGTTCTATACTGAAATCTCTTCCTGATTTGTGTTCCCTCTCATCAGACTTGGTCTCTTTGTTACCTCTTCCTGTGTGTTCATGGGAGACAGTCATGCCTGGAAAACTCACATCAGGAGCTTTCACTTCAAAGGAGAAATTTTTCTTAGATTTTTCATCACCATTCTTGATTTCCTCTTTGTCAGTATCTATGCTGGCTTTCCCACTGCCTCTAAGGTTTATCTTTGGGACTCTAATATCTGCTCCTTTAATACCAAAGCTGAAGCCTCGTTTGGATGTGCTCTCCTGATCCTCCCCATCTAATGTGTCAACATCTCCTCCTCTTGCCTGACTGTAATTTTGGTCATGAGTTTCCACATCCACAGAAGGAATGTTCATACTGGGGCCTTGCAAGCTCACGTTAGCATTTCTCATGGTGCCCAGCTCCATTTCTGCCTTGTCTGGGTAGCTCACTCTCCCACCTTGATGTACATCAGCCTCCATATTACTCTTCATACTGACATTTGGCATTCTTATTTCAGGACCCTTAAATCCAAAGCTGTAACCTCTCTTGGACTTCTTATCTATATCATCCCTGTGGTCCAATTCTTCTCTTCCTTCCTCGTCTTGTGCTTGATCTTTAACGCTCATGGTGGGCAAGCTAATGTCAGGACCCTTAAATCCAAAGCTGAAACCTTTTTGAGATTTCTTACCTTTGTCTTCCTCATTGTCTGACTTCTCTTCCTCATCTCGTTGTGCACGACCTTTCAAACTTATGCTGGGGATTTTAATATCTGGTGCTTTTAGTCCAACATTGAAGCCTTTCTTTGATTTCTTTTCCTTATCTTTGTCTTTATCATCTGATTCCTCATTACTATTTTAGAGCCCTTTAAATTAATACCAGGAAGGTTGATGTCTGGACCTTTTAAGTCAAATGTAAAACCATCTCTAGTTCCAGGATCTTTGTGTTTTCTTTTATCTTCAGCTTCAAGAGTTAACTCCTGGTTATCAGCAACACCAGAGTCTCTCTCATGTACAGTACTGCCAGAAGCTCTCATCTTTACTGACGGAAGATTAACCTCTGGACTCTTAATGTCAAATTTTAATTCTCTCTTCCCTCCATCAACTCTGTCATCTTCCATGTCTGAATCTTGGATGTCTTTGCCATCTCTATGACCTTTCAAATTGAAACTGGGCATGTTGATATCTGGGCCCTTGAATCCAAAACTGAAGCCTTTCTTTGACTTCTTTTCCCTGTCTTTCTCATCTTCATCATCGGATTCTCTACCTTCACTTTCCCTACCATGGCTGCTACCTTTCAGACTCATGTTCGAAGATTAACGCTGGCCCCTTGAATCCAAAACTGAAGCCTTTCTTTGACCTTCCATTCCCTGTCTTTCTCATCTTCATCATCGGATTCTCTACCTTCACTTTCCCTACCATGGCTGCTACCTTTCAGACTCATGTTCGGAAGATTAACGTCTGGCCCCTTGAATCCAAAACTGAAGCCTTTCTTTGACTTCTTTTCCCTGTCTTTCTCATCTTCATCATCGGATTCTCTACCTTCACTTTCCCTACCATGGCTGCTACCTTTCAGACTCATGTTCGGAAGATTAACGTCTGGCCCCTTGAATCCAAAACTGAAGCCTTTCTTTGACTTCTTTTCCCTGTCTTTCTCATCTTCATCATCGGATTCTCTACCTTCACTTTCCCTACCATGGCTGCTACCTTTCAGACTCATGTTCGGAAGATTAACGTCTGGCCCCTTGAATCCAAAACTAAAGCCTTTCTTTGACTTCTTTTCCCTGTCTTTGCTATCTCCATCTTCAGCTTCTGTCTCATGGGAACTGCTCTTCAGGGTCAAGCTCTCTAAGCCAACATCTGGACCCCTGAAGCCGATGCTGATGCTTTTCTTTACATTTTTATCCTCATTTCCTCCTTCATTATCTGATTCGTTTTCGTCTCTGTCTCTATTATCCTTTATTGCCATGCTTGGTAATTTGGCATTTGGTCCCTTTATTCCAAAGGTAAAGCCTTTCTTTGGCTTTTTAGTCTTGTCGTTAGTTTCGTTATTCGTATCATTATCGTCACTCCCATCATGAGCATTGCCTTTTAAACTCATGGTAGGTAGAGTAACTTCAGGACCTTTAAACCCAAAACCAAAGCCTTTTGAATCATTCTCCTTATTTCTATCTTCACTTTCAGTTACTTCCTTCTCTTTATCACTTGCAGGACCATGGCCTTTTAGGCTAAAGCTGGGTAGCTGAATGTCTGGACCTTTGAGCCCTAAGTTAAAGCCTTTTTGTGACTTTCTGTCTTTGTTGGTGGTGTCTTCAGTGTCTGAAGCACTGTACTCCCCTTCATCGCCTTTTACATGAGTTTTCACATTCACATTGGGAAGACTAACATTCGGGCCCTTGAATCCAAAACCAAAGCTTTTCTTTGACTTTTCTTTATCATCTTCATCGTTGGAGCCTTGACCTTCCCTTCCATGGCTGCTACCTTTTAGACTCATACTCGGAAGACTAACATCTGGACCCTTGAAGCCAAAGCTGAAGCCTTTCTTTGATTTCTTCTCTTTGTCATCTTCATCATTGGAGTCTTCACCTTCTCTTCCATGACTGCTACCTTTTAGACTCATACTCGGAAGACTAACATCTGGACCCTTGAAGCCAAAGCTGAAGCCTTTCTTTGATTTCTTCTCTTTGTCATCTTCATCATTGGAGTCTTCACCTTCTCTTCCATGATTGCTACCTTTTAGACTCATACTCGGAAGACTAACATCTGGACCCTTCAGTCCAACACTGAAGCCTTTCTTCAATTTCCTCTCTTTATCATCTTCATTGTCAGATTCTCTGTCTTCACCTTCCCTTCCATGGCTGCTACCCATAACACTCATGCTTGGAAGACTAACATCTGGACTCTTGAAGCCAAAACTGAAGCCTTTCTTCGAGCTTTTATCCTTCAATTTGTCATCATCCTTATCATCAACCTCCACTTTTCTGAGGTCCGCCTCAGATCTTCCCACACTCATGCTTGGGGCACTAACTTCTGGGGCTTTTAGACCTAAATGGAAATCTTTTCTTGATCTGCCTGCTTGTTTTTTGCTGCCCTCATCACCTGATTCCTCTTTATCAGATTCTCTTCCGTCTCCGTGACCCCGGAGGTGGAAGTCAGGAAGACTGATGTCTGGACCTTCAAATTCAAATCCAAAACCTTTCTTGGAGGTTTTCTTTGGGTCCCTAACTGAAAATTCTCTATCTTTGCTCTTTATAGCACCACTGCTGACTTCTATATTTGCCTTTGTCAAGCTGATATCTGGTCCATCAAATTCAAAGGCATAACCTTTCCCATCATTATTCTCACTGTGTTTTGTTCTCTGTTCCTCCATTCCTTCCTCTTCTACATGTCCATGGCCATACATATTTAGGCTTGGTAAGTTTACATCAGGGCTTTTGATGCCCAAACTAAAGCCATTCTTTGATTTTTCTTTGACTCTTACATCTACATTAGATTCTTCTTCTTGAGTTCCTTCTCCACGGCCTTTTAAACTCACACTGGGTAGGTTAATATCAGGGCCCTTGAATCCAAAACTAAAGCCTTTCTTTGATTTTTTATCTTTTTCTGCATCATCATCATTATCTGATTCATCTTTTCTGTCACTTCCTTCCCCACGGCCTTTTAAACTCATGCTGGGTAAACTAACCTCAGGACCTTTAAACCCAAACCTGAAGCCTTTCTTTGCCTTTTCGTTTTCATCATCCTTTTCTTCAAGATTTTCTCCATGACCTTTTACACTTACACTGGGTAAATCAACATCTGGACCTTTAAATCCAAAGCTGAAGCCTTTTTTATCCTTTACTGCCTTACCTTCATCTGGTTCTTCATCTTCTTTTCCACTTCCTTTTACACTCACACTGGGTAAATTAACATCTGGGCCTTTGAAGCCAAAGTTAAATCCTTTCCTTGACTTTTTATCCTTTTCCACATCAACGTCTGTTTTATCGTTTCCTTCACTTCCTTCTCCATGGCCTTTTAAACTCATGCTGGGTAAGTTAACATCTGGGCCTTTAAATCCAAAGCTAAAGCCTTTCTTTGTCTTACTATTTTCTTCATCAGATTTATCTAATTCATCAATTTCTTCAGCTCGTTCTCCACGGCCTTTTAAACTCATGCTGGGTAAGTTAACATCTGGGCCTTTAAATCCAAAGCTAAAGCCTTTCTTTGTCTTACTATTTTCTTCATCAGATTTATCTAATTCATCAATTTCTTCAGCTCGTTCTCCACGGCCTTTTAAACTCATGCTGGGTAAGTTAACATCTGGGCCTTTAAATCCAAAGCTAAAGCCTTTCTTTGTCTTACTATTTTCTTCATCAGATTTATCTAATTCATCAATTTCTTCAGCTCGTTCTCCATGGCCTTTTAAACTCATGCTGGGCAAACTAACATCTGGACCTTTAAATCCAAAGGCAAATCCTTTCTTTGACTTCTTGGTTTTGTCTTTGTCGCCATCATTATCTGATTCATTTCCCTCTTCGCTTCCACGGGTATCGCTCTCCACGTTCAAACTGGGTAAGCTTACTTCTGGACCCTTAAGACCAAAACTGAAAGCTCTTTTAGATTTATCCTTGCCTTTGCTGTCTTCATCTGGGTTTTCTTTGACCTGGTCTTCAGCTTCATGAGCTTTTAAGCTGACACTGGGTAAGCTTATTTCTGGACCCTTGAATCCAAAATTGAAACCTTTTTTTGACTTGTCTTTTTCTTCGTCGTTGGAAGCCCCACTCTCGTGCTCCTCCCCTTGAGCACTGCCCTTTAAGCTCACTCTTGGCATGTTTATCTCTGGACCTTTGACACCCCAGTTGAAGCCTCTCTTGGATTTCTTGTCACTCTCACTGCCATCTTCTGATTCTTTGTCTTCGATCTCCTCGTGGTCACGATCTCTTAAACTAAAGGATGGAAGGTTGATATCTGGCCCCTTTATTCCAAAACTGAAGCCTTTCTTTGATTTGTCTTTTGTTTTGGTATCGTCGTTTGAGACTGCCTCTTCCTCGTCTCCGTGACCTTGTAAACTTATGTTAGGTAAGCTGACGTCTGGCCCCTTGAATCCAAAGTTAAAAGCTTTTTTAGATTTCTTATCCTTCTGATGGTCGTCGTCTGCTTCAGCTCTGATATTAACTGAAGGAAGACTGACGTTGGGGCCTTCAAGTTCAAGACTTATGTCTCTCTGGGACTTATGTTTGTCCTGAAGTTTATCCTCTTTCTCTTCGCGCCCTTCACTGCGACCCCTCCAGTTCAAACTGGGAAGGTTTATATTTGGACCTTTTATTCCAATACTAAACTCTTTATTTTCTTTTCCTTTGCCACCACCATCATCAGATGTTTTTCCCACTCCAATTTCAGGCATGTCTCCTGTTTTCAAGGACACACTTGGAATGTCAACATCTGGACCTATGAGTCCTATATCATATTCTCTTTTACTACTATTGTTTATGTTGTCATCATTGTCTGAATCGTCATCATTTTCATTACCTTTACCATGACTTCTCAAACTCATGCTTGGCAAGTTAAATTCAGGTGCTTTGATACCAAAACTGAAACCTTTTTTGTTCCTCTGATTTTTCTTTTTACTGTTATCATCATCTGATGTGCTTCCCCCGTCCTCTGTAAGTCCACTAACCTCTGCCTTGCTTTTAAAATCTACACTTGCAAGTTGAATATCTGGGCCTTGTAAGCCAACACTAAAGCCTGTTTTCCCTTCATTGTCCTGGTGTTGTAAAGACTTGTCACTTTCTTTACCCGTGTGCTTCTCACCTTCACTCTGGCTCTTCATACTGAAACTCGGTAAGCTGAAGTCTGGAGCTTTAAGGCCAAAACTAAAGCCTTTGCTTTTTTTGTCACCAATGTCGTCCAAGTCACTCGTGGCTGCGCCTTCATTATTAACTCGTAAATCTACATCAGGTACGGAAACTTTTCCTGGCTTGAGACTTATACTACCATTATTCTCGAACTTCATATCTGGCAGTTGCTTTGAAGCCCTCAACCTCTAAATCTCCTCCAGAATCATTCTTTCCCCTTTTAAGCCTAAAATCTGGTAGGCTGATATCAGGCATTTTCATTCCAAAAGATAAACTTTGTGCCTTGTCATTCTCTGTCTTCACATTATTTTCCTTATCTATGTTTTTCGTTCTTCCCGTCAGACTGAACTGTGGCATAGATATTTCTGGTGCTTTAAAGCTGATTCCCAAATCTGAACCTCCTCCTCCTTCTTCTGACTGTAAGGTATTATCACCCTCAACATCAGCAGATAGTCTGATCTTGTGTGTAGAATCAAAGTCGGGGAGGTGAATTTCCGGCGCCTCAACACTGACCCCGACAGTGTTCTTAGACTTGACTTTCTCTTCATCTGAGGCGGCAGTGTGATCATCATCATCTTTACTCAAGCCTTTAAGGCCAAAACTGAAGTCCATTTTGCCCAAACCTTTGAATTTCCCAGAGTCTTTTTCGTTTGTTTTTGTTTCTTTCTCATCTACATTTTCCGCTTCAGAATCTTGACCTCGGCTGAAGCCTTTGAATCCAAAACCAAATGAGCCTTTTGCTTTCTGTTTCTCATCATCTGTTTTGGGTTCGTGAGATATCTTGTCATGGTCCACGCCAGCCCTGACTGACAGGTCAACACAAGGCAATGACATATTAATATCCTCAGCCACCATATTTACCAGCCCACTCCCACCCCCACTCACCAATTTACCACTCGTTTTACCCCTCTCATCCATTTCACTCTCCTTCAGATTCAGCTGTGGAAGCTTAACCCCAAATTTTACACCTGCCATCTGCTTGTCTGCTGCCTCCAGACCTTCTAACCCCAGGGAAGGGTTAACCTCAGTTTCAACATTAACATGAGGCTGAGGCAGGTTAAGGGAAGGCAGAGTCACCTCTGTAGGTATCATGTCTCCTGCTTCCAAGTCCACGTCTTGTTTAGGTACCTTTCCTGTCAGGTCTGGAAGAACTTTGATGCCAAATTTTAATCTTGAATCAGATTTTGCTGGCTGGAGCTCTGGGATGTCAGGTTTTGTGAGGTGAGGTTTGGTGACTACAGCTCCTGGGACATCGATGGCTCGTTCTGAGTGTCGTTCTGGAGCCTCCCGCTTAACAAGGGCGGCAGCATCCATCCTGGAGGGGGTGGTAGCTGGGTGGCCGGCAGTGAGCTTGAGGGAAGGCACTTCCACCCCACCAGGATTGACTCTTAGGCTGGGTAACTCCACCCCACCAGGACTGAGTCTGAGGGATGGCTGCTCCACCCCACCAGGACTGACTCTTAGGCTGGGTAACTCCACCCCACCAGGACTGAGTCTGAGGGTGGGCTGTTCCACCCTGCCGCCCACCAGATCAGGGCGAGACACCTCAGGAGCACTGGCCCTGCCCTCACACACCCGTGCACGGCTAACCCTCCACATATCCGCCTTACCAATCTGTAAATAGTCAACTGAGTTTAGAACCATTCTGGTTGAACATTAAAATGGTATAAAATACCGACAGGTTGTTAGGTAAGACACATATGCAACAGTTAGGTGTCTTTATTTCGAAATGTTTCGCCTACACAGTAGGCTTCTTTAGTCGAGTACAGAAAAGTTGATAGAAGCAGAAGAGACTTGAAGACGATGTAATCAGTCCATCACCCTTAAAGTTTTGAGGTGGTCAGTCCCTCAGTCTGGAGAAGAGCATTGTTCCATACTATGAAACAATGCTCTTCTATGGAACAATACTCTTCTCCAGACTGAGGGACTGACCACCTCAAAACTTTAAGGGTGATGGACTGATTACATCATCTTCAAGTCTCTTCTGCTTCTATCAACTTTTCTGTACTCGACTGAAGAAGCCTACTGTGTAGGCGAAACGTTTCGAAATAAAGATACCTAACTGTTGCATATGTGTCTTACCTAACAACCATTCTGGTGCATACCACAAGTACATCTTATCCTGAAATCCACCTTCACGACACAGACTTCAGCTAATTACTGTCAACCAAGTGACAACATTTAACATAATGATTGAAGATGTACAATGTCCACCATATAATAGGTACTTTCTCTCTCATGATTAGTGGACAGAGCAACGAGCCTACACTACTTGAGCTGAACGAATTGTATGGGTCTAGTGCTCTACATAATTATAATAATATTATTACTACTATTACTACTACTGCTAATAATAATAATATTAATAGTACTACTACTACTACTAATAATAATAATATTAATACTACTACTACTATTACTACTAATAATAATATTATTAATACTACTACTATTGTTAATAATAATAATCATAATTTTTTATTATTATTATTAACACATTGGCAGTTTCCCACCAAGGTAGGGTGGCCTGAAAAAGAAACTCTTTCACCATCATTCACTGTAGTGTCAAGTCCTAAAAACCATTTGTCTCCATTCGTTTCTAACTAACATGCTCATGCATGCTTGCTGGAAGTCCAAGCCCCTCACACACAAAACCTCCTTTACCCCCTCGCTCCAACGTTTTCTAGGCTGATCCCTACCCCACCTTCCCTCCACTACAGAGTTATACACTCTTGAAGTCATTCTATTTTGTTTCATCTTCTCTACAAGTCCAAACCACCTTAACAATCCCTCCTCAGCCCTCTGGAAAAATTTTGGTAATCCAGCACCTCCACCTAATTTCCAAACTACAAATTCTCTGCATTATATTCACACCACACATTGCCCTCAGACACAACATCTCCACTGCCTCCAGCCTTCTTGTTGTTGCAACATTCACCACCCATGCTTTGCACCCATATAATAATAATAATCATAATATTACTACTAATAATACTGTTAAATACAGCGGATGTCACAGCAGCCTACCAGTTTCAGAACCAATTTGCCACTGGTTCAATCTCTGGTGAACTTATAAAAACTAACAATAACAGTAAATATAATAATAAAAATAATATCAATACTACGAATGATATTTATAGCAAATAATGGTACTAAATCTTGCTTTTATGATATGTGATGGTGACTGACCTTAGCCAGGTCATCAATGGACTGGCTCCTGTAGAAGGGATGGACTGGTCTGGCTGCTGTCACATTGGGAAGGCGACGCTCACTGCCGGAGATGGACTTCTCCAGCAGGAGAAGCACAGGGTAGGGTGATGCATAGCTGAGTAGCGTGAGTGCATCCTCGTGTACCATGTGTTCTGTGCTTACAGCTAGACCCAACACACGGTCACCTGTACAATATAATAATAATAATAATAATAATAATAATAATAATAATATTAATATATTTATTTCCACAAGTACATGATACAACGTACAGACCATAGCTGACATCAGTGACATATTATAATCAAAATAATAATAATAAGACAGAATGTAGGATTGTGGATGAGCAAGGAGGTTTCAGAGTGGGTAGGGGATGTGTAGATCAAGTGTTTACAGTGAAACATATAAGTGAACAGTATTTAGATAAAGGTAGGGAAGTTTTTATTGCATTTATGGATTTAGAAAAGGCATATGATAGAGTGGATAGAGGAGCAATGTGGCAGATGTTGCAAGTATATGGAATAGGTGGTAAGTTACTAAATACTGTAAAGAGTTTTTATGAGGATAGTGAGGCTCAGGTTAGGGTGTGTAGAAGAGAGGGAGAATACTTCCCGGTAAAAGTAGGTCTTAGACAGGGATGTGTAATGTTACCATGGTTGTTTAATAGATATTGGCAGTTTGGAGAGATATATTGTGTATTTTTATACGTATATACTTCAAAACTGTTGTATTTTGGGCAAGTCTGCAAAAACAGTGATTATGTGTGAGTGAGGTGAAAGTGTTGAATGATGATGAAAGTATTTTCTTTTTGGGGATTTTCTTTCTTTTTGGGTCACCCTGCCTCGGTGGGAAACGGCCGACTTCTTAAAAAAAAAAAAAAAAAAATAATAATAATAATAATAATAATAATAATAATAATAATAATAATTGTAGGTAGTAGGTTGGTAGACAGCAACCGGCCAGGGAGGTAAAACCGTCCTGCCAAGTGAGTGTAAAACGGAGACCTGTAATTGTTTTACATGATGGTAGGATTGCTAGTGTCTTTTTTCTGACTCATAAGTATGCAAGATTTCAGGTATGTCTTGCTACTTCTACTTACACTTAGGTCACACTACACATACATGTACAAGCATATATATACACACACCTCTGGGTTTTCTTCTATTTTCTTTCTAGTTCTTGTTCTTGTTTATTTCCTCTTATCTCCATGGGGAAGTGGAACAGAATTCTTCCTCCGTAAGCTATGCGTGTTGTAAGAGGCGACTAAAATGCTGGGAGCAAGGGGCTAGTAACCCCTTCTCCTGTATATATTACTAAATGTAAAAAGAGAAACTTTCGTTTTTCTTTTTGGGCCACCCTGCCTCGGTGGCATATGGCCGGTTTGTTGAAATAAAAATTAATAATAATAATAATATACTATAACAATAGTGATCTTTATCTCCACAAGTGCATGATAAAACTTACACAGACCATAGCTGACATCAGTGGCATACTATACAGAAAGTCCCTGGTTATGCAGAGCATTTCCTGCAACTTAGGTTAATTTTGTCCCCAGGATGCGACCCACACCAGTCAACTAATACCCAGGTACCTACTTGCTGCTAGGTGAACAGTGACAGCAGGTGTAATGTGACTAACACCCAGGTACCTACTCACTGCTAGGTGAACAGGGACAGCAGGTGTAAGGTGACTAACACCCATGTACCTACTTACTGCTAGGTGAACAATGACAGCAGGTGCAAGGTGACTAATACCACACCCAGGTACCTACTTACCGCTAGGTGTCTGGCAACATTGCTGGAACAATGTTGCCAGACCTAAAGTCGGTACCTGACCAACCGGGCTGGCCAGGTACCGACTTTAGGTGCTTGTCCAGTGCCTGCTTGAAGACAGCCAGGGGTCTATTGGTAATCCCCCTTATGTATGCTGGGAGGCAGTTGAACAGTCTTGGGCCCCTGACACTTATTGTATTGTCTCTTAACGTCCTAGTGACACCCCTGCTTTTCATTGGGGGAATGTTGCATCGTCTGCTGAGTCTTTTGCTTTCGTAGTGAGTGATTTTCATGTGCAAGTTCAGTACTAGTCCCTCTAGGATTTTCCAGGTGTATATAATCTTGTATCTCTATTGCCTGCATTCCAGGGAGTACAGGATCAGGAACTTACAGTCTACTTAACACTAAGGAGTATATCATAGTTGTACAGTAGAATATTAATTATGAATGAATCAAAATTTGTATAATACAAAGATATATTTATATTCGAAAATACTTTTTGTGAAAACAATGATTCAATTTTATTCGTGTCAACAATGGATAAAAGGTTCGAAGTGATTGTTTCAGTTATGATGTGGGAGTACATAAGTGAGTATGTGTGTACTGAGTATTTAGTATTTAGTCTAGGGTGAGTAAATGGCTCAGAAAAAGTCTTAAATTGATTTTCAGACCGGGTTACTTTAGTATCTTCTGGTAATGAATTCCAAATTTTGGGGCCCTTTATGTGCATAGAGTTTTTGCACAGTGTGATATGGACACGAGGTATATCAAAAAGAGATCTGTGTCTTGTGTTATGGTCATGTGTCCTGTTAAGGTTGGTGAGGAGAAGTTTGAGTGGAGGGTTTATATTTGCGTGTATTGTTCTGTGTATGTAGTAGGCACATGAATAAGTATGGATGTTCTTAATGGTGAGAAGATTCAGACTTCTGAAAATTGGTGGAGTATGCTGGCGGGAGTGGGAATTTGTTATCATTCTTACTGCTGCCTTTTGCTGGGTTATTAGAGGTCTTAGGTGATTGGATGTTGTTGATCCCCATGCACAAATTCCATATGTAAGATAAGGGTATATGAGTGAATGGTACAGTGCCAGGAGAGCTGATTGTGGAACGTAGTACCTTATCTTTGATAGTATGTCTACAGTCTTGGAGATTTTCTTGGTGATTTGTTGTATGTGTGTCTGGAACTTAAGGCAGCTGTCAAGGTGGATACCTAGGAATTTTCCCTCTGAGTCTTGTGACTGATGATCCATTTAGCGTAATGTTAATTGGATCATTTGCAGCTTTGTTTCCAAACTAAATGAAATATGTTTTATCAGTATTCAGGGTAAGTTTATTAATCATCCAGGCAGATATTTTCTGCAATTCGGCATTGACAATGTTTGCTAGTATGACTGGGTTTGGGTGGGAGAAGACATATGTAGTGTCATCTGCAAATAATATGGGTTTGAGTAGCTGTGATGCATTCGGTAGATCATTGATGTAGATGAGAAAGAGTGGTCTAATGTGGGTTATTTATTTATTTAATAATTCTTTGTGTATTAAGCCCTTACTACATTGCTTTTCATATTGATGTTTCTTATCAATGGATCTTAGCATGCTGTTAGTTAGCCATGGGCAACCTAGCCGTTTATTCATAATCTGTTTTGTTTTTATGGGACAATGTTTGTTATATGATAGTGTACTAACCTGGAGCAATGTAACCAGACTGTACTATGATAGTGTACTAACCTGGAGCAATGTAACCAGACTGTACTATGATAGTGTACTAACCTGGAGCAATGTAACCAGACTGTACTATGATAGTGTACTAACCTGGAGCAATGTTACCAGACTGTACTATGATAGTGTACTAACCTGGAACAATGTTACCAGACTGTACTATGATAGTGTACTAACCTGGAACAATGTTGCCAGACTGTACTATGATAGTGTACTAACCTGGAACAATGTTGCCAGACTGTACTATGATAGTGTACTAACCTGAAACAATGTTACCAGACTCTACTATGATAGTGTACTAACCTGAAACAATGTTACCAGACTCTACTATGATAGTGTACTAACCTGGAACAATGTTACCAGACTGTACTATGATAGTGTACTAACCTGGAACAATGTACCAGACTGTACTATGATAGTGTACTAACCTGGAACAATGTTACCAGACTGTACTATGATAGTGTACTAACCTGGAGCAATGTAACCAGACTGTACTATGATAGTGTACTAACCTGGACATATGCTGATCTAACCACTTTCAGCTGTACTATGATAGTGTACTAACCTGGAACAATGTTACCAGACTCTACTATGATAGTGTACTAACCTGGAACAATGTTACCAGACTCTACTATGATAGTGTACTAACCTGAAACAATGTTACCAGACTCTACTATGATAGTGTACTAACCTGGAACAATGTTACCAGACTCGGAGGCTGGGCCACGGTGAAGAACAATGTTACCAGACTGAACTATGATAGTGTACTAACATGGAACAATGTTACCAGACTGTATTATGATAGTGTACTAACCTGGAGCAATGATACCAGATTCGGAGGCTGGGCCACGGTGAAGAACAATGTTACCAGACTGTACTATGATAGTGTATTACCTGGAGAGAGTTCCGGGAGTCAACACCCCCGCGGCCCGGTTTGTGATCAGGCCTTATGGTGGATCGGGGCATGATCAACCAGGCTGTTACTGCTGGCTGCACACAATACAACGTACGAACCACAGCCCGGCTGGTCAGGTACCGACTTTAGGTGCTTGTCCAGTGCCAGCTTGAAGACTGCCAGGTCTATTGGTAATCCCCCTTATGTATGCTGGGAGGCAGTTGAACAGTCTCGGGCCCCTGACACTTATTGTGTTGTCTCTTAACGTGCTAGTGACACCCCTGCTTTTCATTGGGGGGATGTTGCATCGTCTGCCGAGTCTTTTGCTTTCGTAGGGAGTGATTTTCGTGTGCAAGTTCGGTACTAGTCCCTCTAGGATTTTCCAGGTGTATATAATCATGTATCTCTCCCGCCTGCGTTCCAGGGAATACAGGTTTAGGAACCTCAAGCGCTCCCAGTAATTGAGGTGTTTTATCTCCGTTATGCGCACCGTGAAGGTTCTCTGTACATTTTCTAGGTCAGCAATTTCACCTGCCTTGAAAGATGCTGTTAGTGTGCAGCAATATTCCAGCCTAGATAGAACAAGTGACCTGAAGAGTGTCATCATGGGCTTGGCATCCCTACTTTTGAAGGTTCTCATTATCCATCCTGTCATTTTTCTAGCAGATGCGATTGATACAATGTTATGGTCCTTGAAGGTGAGATCCTCCGACATGATCACTCCCAGGTCTTTGACGTTGGTTTTTCACTCTATTGTGTGGTTGGAATTTGTTTTGTACTCTGATGAAGTTTTAATTTCCTCGTGTTTACCATATCGGTGTAATTGAAATTTCTCATCGTTGAACTTCATATTGTTTTCTGCAGCCCATTGAAAGATTTGGTTGATGTCCGCCTGGAGCCTTGCAGTGTCTGCAATGGAAGACACTGTCATGCAGATTCGGGTGTCATCTGCAAAGGAAGACACGGTGCTGTGGCTGACATCCTTGTCTATGTCGGATATGAGGATGAGGAACAAGATGGGAGCGAGTACTGTGCCTTGTGGAACAGAGCTTTTCACCGTAGCTGCCTCAGACTTTACTCTGTTGACTACTACTCTTTGTGTTCTGTTTGTGAGGAAATTATAGATCCATCTACCAACTTTTCCTGTTATTCCTTTAGCACGCATTTTAAGTGCTATTATGCCATGGTCACACTTGTCGAAGGCTTTTGCAAAGTCTGTATATATTACATCTGCATTCTTTTTGTCTTCTAGTGCATCTAGGACCTTGTCGTAATGATCCAATAGTTGGGACAGACAGGAGTGACCTGTTCTAAACCCATGTTGCCCTGGGTTGTGTAACTGATGGGTACCTAGATGGGTGGCGATCTTGCTTCTTAGGACTCTTTCAAAGATTTTTATGATATGGGATGTTACTAGACTGTACTATGATAGTGTACTAACCTGGAACAATGTTACCAGACTGTACTATGATAGTGTACTAACCTGGAACAATGTTACCAGACTGTACTATGATAGTGTACTAACCTGGAACAATGTTACCAGACTGTACTATGATAGTGTACTAACCTGGAGCAATGTTACCAGACTGTACTATGATAGTGTACTAACCTGGAGCAATGTTACCAGACTCGGAGGCTGGGCCACGGTGCAAAACGTCCTTAACAAAGATTCCATCTCTCATGTTGCCAGATATGTTGAAGCCAAGACCAGTGAAGTCATGACCTCGCAGAGGCACTGCTACCACCACAGGTTCCTGTAAAACACCATAAACACCGTCACACAACACAAACACCGTCACACGTGGCACTGCTACCACCACAGGTTCCTGTAAAACACCATAAACACCGTCACACACAAACACCGTCACACGTGGCACTGCTACCACCACAGGTTCCTGTAAAACACCATAAACACCGTCACACACAAACACCGTCACACGTGGCACTGCTACCACCACAGGCTCCTGTAAAACACTACAAACACCGTCACACAACACAAACACCATCACACGTGGCACTGGTACCACCACAGGTTCTTGTAAAACACTACAAACACCGTCACACAACACAAACACCGTCACACGTGGCACTGCTACCACCACAGGTTCCTGTAAAACACCTCAAAGACCGTCACACACAACAAAAACACCGTCACAAATGGCACAAACACCACAGGTTCCTGTAAAACGCCGTCACACACAACACAAACACCGTCACATGCAACACAAACATCGTCACACAACACAAATATCGACACACAACCCAAAAACACCGCATCACACACAACACAAACACCGTCACACAACACAACACCGTCACACAAAAACACCACATCACACACAACACAAACACCGCCACACAACACAAACACCGTAACACCAACACAAACACCGTCACACAACACAAACACCGTCACACAAAAACACCACATCACACACAACACAAACACCCGTCACACAACACAAACACCGTAACACAACACAAACACCGTCAACACAACAAAAACACCGCATCACACACAACACAAACACCGTCACACAACACAAACACCATAACACAACACAAACACCATAACACAACACAAACACCGTCACACAAACACAAACACCGTAACACAACACAAACACCGTAACACAACACAAACACCGTAACACAACACAAACACCGTAACACACACAAAGACCGTCAACAACAAAAACACCGCATCACACACAACACAAAACACCGTCACACACACAAACACCATAACACAACACAAACACCATAACACAACACAAACACCGTCACACAACAAAAAAACACCGCATCACACACAACACAAACACCGCCACACAACACAAACACCGTAACACACACAAACACTGTAACACAACACAAACACCGTCACACAACACAAACACCGTAACACAAACAAAACACCGTAACACAACACAAACACCGTAACACAACACAAACACTGTAACACAACACAAACACCGTCACACAACACAAACACCGTCACACAACACAAACACCGTCACACAACACAAACACCGTCACACAACAAAAACACCGCATCACACACAACACAAACACCGTTCACACAACACAAACACCATAACACAACACAAACACCATAACACAACACAAACACCGTCACACAACACAAAACCGTAACACAACACAAACACCGTAACACACACAAACACCGTAACACAACACAAACACCGTAACACAACACAAACACTGTAACACAACACAAACACCGTCACACAACACAAACACCGTCACACAACACAAACACCGTAACACAACACAAACACTGTAACACAACACAAACACCGTCACACAACAAAAACACCGCATCACACAACACAACACCGTAACACAACACAAAACACCGTAACACAACACAAAACACCGTCACACAACACAAACACCGTAACACACACAAACACCGTAACACAACACAAACACCGTCACACAACACAAACACCGTCACTCAACACAAACACCGTCACACAACACAAACACCGTAACACAACACAAGCACCGTAACAAACACAAACACACGTAACACAACACAAACACCGTCACACAACACAAACACCGTCACACAACACAAACACCGTCACACAACACAAACACCGTCACACAACACAAACACCGTAACACAACACAAACACCGTAACAACACAAACACCGTAACACAACACAAACACCGTAACACAACACAAACACCGTCACACAACACAAACACCGTCACACAACACAAACACCGTCACACAACACAAACACCGTAACACAACACAAACACCGTCACACAACACAAACACCGTCACACAACAAAAACACAGCATCACACACAACAACAAACACCGTCACACAACACCAAACACCGTCACAACACACAAACACCCGTCACACAACACAAACACCGTCACACAACACAAACACCGTCACACAACACAAAACACCGTCACACAACACAAACACCGTAAACACAACACAAACACTGTAACACAACACAAACACCGTCACACAACACAAACACCGTCACACAACACAAACACCGTCAACAGAGAGTTGCTTTAATGTTGATTAAAAGTTCATAATCCAAGGAACTGGAACTGCCTTCCTCATCCTCGGATCAAACCTCATTGCCTCTTATGAACTAGCTGCTATATGACCCCTACAGGTCAAATGCTTCCTCCTTAATATCAAATAATATAATAATAATAATAATAATAATAATAATAATAATAATAATAATAATTAATAATAATAATAATAATAACAATAATATAATAATAATAACAATAATAACATAATAATAATAATAATAATAATAATAATAACAATAATAATAATAATAATAATAATAATAATAACAATAAAACAATAATAATAATAATAATAATAATAATAATAATAAAAACAATAAAAATAAAAATAATAATAAAATAACAATAATAATAATAAAAATAATAATATAATAAAATAATAATTTAAAAATAATAACAATAAAAAATAATAATAAATAATAATAATAAAAATAATAATAATAATAATAAAAAATAATAAAAATAAAATAATAATAAAAACAACAACAACAACAACAACAATAATAATAATAAAAATTTAATAATAATAATAATAATAAAAAATAATAAAATAATAATAATAAAATAATATAATAATAATAAAAAAATAATAATAAAAATAACAATAATAAAAATAATAAAAATAATAATAATAATAATAATAAAAATAATAATAATAAATAAAAATAACAATAAAAACAAAAAAAATAATAAAATAATAATAATAACAATAATTAAAAAAAATAATAATAATAATAATAAAAAAACAACAAAAACAACACCCAATAAAATAATAATAATAATAATAATAATAATAAAAATTCTTTATCCCTCAAGTACATGTACACTTATACACCCAACTCACATCACTGACTACTACTATTTAAAAAAAGCCGTTGTTATAAGACATTTGGAAAAAAGGGGGCAATTCTGCCCGGGGTGCGACCCACACCAGTCAACTAAACCCAGGGGACCTACTTATGCTTTTGGGAACATGCACAGAGGTGTTTTAAAGGGGAAAAACGTCTTAAGTTTTCCCCCCGTACTGGGGATTGTCCGGGACCCTTTTAGTGAGAGAGAGGAGGAGAGAGGAGGGGAGAGAGGAGAGGGGAGAAGGGGTTATATGTAAAAGGGGGGATTCAGTGGGGGGGGTTGAAGGGGAAGGGAGAGGTGGTTCACCCGGTGCCAACAATCCACTAAGGGTAGGGGGGGTTTTGGGGGCGTGGGAGGGGGAATGGGTAAACGGGTAGGGGGGAGGAGGAAAAGGTGGGTGGTTTGTGGTGTGGTGTTTTTCCCCGTGGTGTGAAGCGTGGGGGGTAGTTGTAGTGGGGTGGGGGCTTGTGGTAGTAATGGGGGGTTTTGTGATGGTGGTGGTGGTAGTGGTGTTGTGTTAACAGTGGTGGTGGTAGTAGTGGTGTGTTGTAGGGTGGTTGTAGTGTGGGGGTGGGGTGGTGGTATTAAGCGTGGTTGGTGGGGTTTTAGTTTGGTTTGTGGTGATGGTAGTATGGTGGTAGCAGTAGTGGGAATGGTGTAATGGGAAAAATAAGGTAGTGGGGGGGGTGGGGTTAGTGGTATACAAAGGGGCGGTAGTAATGGTGGGGGGAGCAGTGGTAGGATGGGGAAGTAGTGGTAGTGATGGTGGTAGTAGCAGTAGTGGGTGGTGGTTATAGTAGCGGTGGGGTGACGTGTGGGGTGGTGGGTTTGTAAGGTGGGTGTAGAGAGTGGGGTGGTAGTAATGGGGGTAATTGTAATGGTGGGTAGTGGTGGTAGTAGTGGTGGTAGTTGTTGTGGGGGGTATAGTGGTGGTGGTTGTAGGGTGGTGGTAGTGGTATTTTCAGGGGAGTGGTTGGGAATGTAAAGGGGGGTAGTAAATTGGTGGTGACGTAGGGTAGTAATATGGAGTAGTGGTAGTGTAAAGGCCAAGAGCTGTTATTTAGTGAACTAATGTCAAAAACTCAAAATTTCAAGGGCAAAAACAGCCCCGGATGCCCCCCAACAATAAATAAAAGCCCCCGGATGCCACCCACAACAGTCAACTAACACCCCCGGATGCCCCCAAACAGTCAACAACGCCCAGGATACCACCCCCAAAAAATCAACTAAAAGCCCCCGGGGCCCCCCCCAAAACAGTCAACTAAACCCCAGGATACCCAACCCCCAACAGTAACAACACCCCAGGGGTGCCCCCCACAAAAGTCAACAAAAAGCCCCCGGATAAAAACCAACAGTCAACTAACAGCCCCAGGGGTGCCACCACAAGTCAACTAACAGCCCCAGGTACCACCCACAACAGTCAACTAACGCCCGGATGCCACCAAACGTCAACAAAAACCCCAGGATACCCCCCACAACAGTCAACAAAAAGCCCCCAGGTCCACCACAACATCAACTAACAGCCCCGGATACCCCCCAAAAAAGTCAACTAACAGCCCCGAACCACCACAAAAAAGTCAAATAACAGCCCCAGGGTACCACCCACAAAAATCAACTAACAGCCCCCGGGTGCCCCCCCAAAAAGTAACAAACCCCCAGGGTACCACCCCCAACAGTCAAATAACAGCCCCAGGGTCCACCCCCAAAAAGTCAACAACAGCCCCAGGGTGCCACCCAAACATCAACAACGCCCCGGTACCACCACAAAAGCAACTAAAGCCCAGGATACCCCCCACAAA